TTGATTTTCCACAAAGCACAAGCACCACGAGCCTGTACCACATGTTTTTTGCATACTTTTGTGGTTGAAATGTAGAATTTGGTGGCTGGCCATTTTTTTCCACGGACTGCTGAGAGTGCACAATGGTGCAAAAAGGGTTTATTGGGTTCTTGGCCATTGTGCCATTATGCGATTTATTCAAGTTCAGTCGAAAGGTCACTTCGTTTGACTTATTCGCGCTCGACCGGACACTGAAAATCGCTTTGCAACTGAAAATTCCAAGGAATCTTTGCAGCGAGAACTCAACGAGGCGTGAAAAGCTGACACTCTAAAAAGCTGAGTAACTGCAATTGCTGGCACTTGGAGAGTGCAAAATTAGAAAGGGAGCAAGGACGAAATGCCAATGGGGGAAATTAATGTAATCCATTGAAGGGCAAAACACTTAGGGATCATGTTTTGTGTTTATTGAATTTTTTGGGAATTAATGTTTGTCCTCTAAAAGGAGTCAAGATTTTTGTATAATTCAAATAAAGATCATCCCACACCACACACAAGAATATTCTTTTGGCTGAAAATCTGCTGCTATTCCACTCCAATTTTCACACATTTACCATTAGGATAAATAAATATTTTAAGGGCACATTGCCTAGACGCCATTTGACTTTAGTTTAGTTGTAAATTGTGTGCTAATTTCTTGGCTGAGAGTTCTTCAGAGGGAAGGAGCCAACAAGGAGGCAAGCATTTGAGCAAGACATTCCGTCAACAGCCACCAAACGGGCCAAAAGATTTGCATATCTTTTGAGCCACAGCCTCAGCCTGCGAAATGCAAGCTCGACCCCCCGTAAACCTCTGCAACTGGCACTCCGTGGCTCCATGCCGCCGTCTTTAGTGGTTCCTGAAGCTCAAACCCACTCTATTTATTCGTGCTGCTGCTGCTGCTGCTCATCCTTGTGACACTGTGATGTGGCAGCGCCCACATTCTCCATACGTTTTGACAGCTGCTCCTGCTGCTGGTGCTGCTCCTTCTGCGGTTGCCAACTTTGGCTTTTGACTGGAGCAGACATCTTGCCTGGCAAATTACCACAGCCAGAACAGAGAGTCAGAGACAAAGTGGGAGAATGTGGGATGGAGGAAGCCTGGAATTTTCATCACTTAATTGACATGTCTGGGATTGGTGCGTAACCTTTGCTTGGATAGTGATTAGACGCCGTCTAACCGAAGAATATCCATTAACAGCAGCAACAGCAGAGCTGAAATTAGAGCTCGAAAAACAACACTCCATTTTGGAGTTTCGGGCTGGAAGCGGGATGTCTGGTCTGCACCGCAAAATGCAAATATCTTTTGCACAGAAAACAGGTCCCCTTGCTGTTGTCTGACAATGGTCATGGTTTGTCCGGGTTCTACATGACTCTGTTCAGCAAATTGCAAAACGGGTTCAAATATGCAAAAGCCGAGGCACCGAGGCCAAGGATTTCCCCAGAGACCTTTACCTGGCAAAAACCACAAAGCGTAAAAGTGGTATATGAAGCTATGAACTGACGTTCGTGTCCTTTTCTTACATCTACAGCTACCAGTTACCCAGCCACCCATCAACACAGGCACCCAATTGTTTCGTGTGCATCTACCAATTAAACCCGAGCCGGAGAACGATCTGTCGTTGCCCGGAGTCTGAGGCCCGCCACAAGAAAAGTGAAACCCGTTTGTCATTGACGCAAAATGTCTCTTGTCGTTGTCAGGCTTCCAGAGAGACCATCCCTATACCTCTCCATCTGCCATTCGCCATCCAGCATTCAGCATCCAGCATCCTCCTCTGCAGTGCGTCATAAGCGGGTTATGGCATTTTCCTTTTGAATCGAGAAAACGAGCTGCAAACTGGTAGCTGGCAGGATGCTAGAGTAGAAGCAGTTGAAAGAAGGAGATTGGAAGCTTCATCTCGATGTAACTACGCACAGATGGCAGTTGGCGATATCTATGTGACTCACTTGCTATTGGAGTGAAGCTTAAATCTAGTTTGGAAATCCATTTGAATGAGGTTCGGAGGCAAAAATGTATTTGGCATCCAATTGGAGGAGCTGTTGTCACAATCTTTAGCTCTAAGCTGAGTGCCTGATATTATATTTACACTATTCTTCGAAAGGAGTCTTCTTAGTTTTTACTACTGTATTGTTTACAGATATTGATTTGAAGCAACAAATCAGCGGGAATGGAAGCGGAACTCAGCGCTGTTAGCACCCTGAAATTAACAGTCTGTTGTCGCCTCCAGTTCCATCTCACTGTTAACGCTCAGTTACCACTCGCGTCCACAGAGCCCACTGTTACCACGATCTGTTACTGCTTCCAGCTCCAGCTCTCTGTTATCGCTCAATTTTACTGCTTCTGTTTATAGCGCTAACTGTTACCGCTTGCAGTTACAGGTCACTGTTAGCCCTCACTGTTATAGAGCACTATTACCTCTCTTACGATCCACACAGATCTAATTTACTTAGCAATCCCCTTCTATTGTTTCAACAAATTTCAGCTCTTCCCAAAAAAATAGCACATAAGAAAGAGTATCCCTTGTGCATGTCTTACTTACAGAACTCTCTCCAAATTGACCTTGATTGAGCTAGTTGCAAATCCAAATCGCAAGTCAATTTAATTGAAGGCGAGTACGAGCAGCTGCTGTTTGTTTCCCGTTACCCTTTTGACATTTAATTAATATGCAAATGATGGCAAGGATCCCAGGGAACCCAGAAACAGCAGCAGCATCCCGACATTCCTCCGCGGCACCTCCGCCGCAGCACATGCGATGGCCACTTCTTTCGGTATCGTCTCACAGCATCTCCCTGGCTGAGCAAACAAACAAAGAGGAGGAATTAGAATCGGAGCTTAGTCATTCCGCTGGCATCGCAGGATTCGTGCATAGTTTCAATTGCCACCGCATCAGTGGCGGATGGGAATGGGTAATGGCTGGGGGGAATCCTTGCCTTGGATATCCTTGGGTGTCCCACAGGAATGCGCCGCTTGGAATTTACGAGCCGCTTGAGATTAGTTTCCCGCTGGTTGTTTGCTTTAATTGCGACCATGGACCACGGGGCGTGGCGATGTCGTCGAGTCAGCAGCCAGAGGACAACAACATAAGCAAACAGCTTAAGTCGCGAGCCGAGCACAGAGCCCAAAGGCATGTGTGTGGGGCGTAAAGATGGGTGTCGCTGCATTGTAAATATTGCATTGAACAAGCTCAAATAAACACACTTATCGCAACGAATGGGTCGCATGGGGGATCGTAAACCTATATGTTTTTATATGCATATATCGTATCGTACCGTATCGTATGTCTGGTGCATAAATTGTTGGGTCTCGCTCTTTCTGTTTCTCTCTGTCTGTGTGTGTGCCACAATTTTATATCTTATTTATTTCAATGTTTTTGCCCATTCGTTGTCGCGACGTGTTTTATTCGAATGCTTTCATTCTTTCACTTTCTCTTTTTGTTTGTTTGTTCGTGCCATCCTTTGGGATGCAATTTTAAAATATTGCACAGTTGACTACGAGGACCATTTATTTTATATTTTTTTATTGTCGCCATATTGACGTGGCCGTTGAGTTGAGTGATTCCAATAAATTATTGGCATGGAGCGCAGCTTGGAGTGTATTTTCTTGAGCGTTTTTTAAGCGAAAATACTTGAATGGAAACGACAACTAAAGGGGATTGAAATATATTTCGTTCTAATTTGGAAGTTATTCAAATCTGCATCTATCGTCTGGGCCACGACCTTGTTCTCGGTCGTCCACGAGAGACTGATCTTCCTCGCGGTAGGGAAAGGCCTCTCTCCAGCAGTCTGGCAGCTCGCTGCTCTCGCCTTTCATTCCTGCCAATACGCTCGGCGAGAATAGAGAGCACACTCTCTGAGGCTAGATCATCTTGCACTCCGAAGAACTTCTGAAGACCATCCATCTGAATGGACTTGAAGAGAACAACCATTTCCACAGAGAGCAGACTGAGGGTCAGGACGTACGGCTGCATATTTTTCAACTGCTCAATGTGTGTGGCACCCAACAGGCGGCAGCCACTATTGAACACGGCCTCCACAATGGTTTGCAGCGAACAGAAGATGACATACCACACGGTCCCCAGAAGGAATTGCATCGTCAGGCACGCGAGCATGACATCCGCGGCCATGTCCCATAGGGTTTTGTTTGCATTCCGGCTGCCAACGAGTTTGTTTATGGCCACAAAGGAAAGCATTATGAATAACGTCGACTCCAATCCCACATAGCCGGCGGGATCGAAGCAGAGTTCCATTTGATGGCAGAAGATTGAAATGGCTGCAGCAATGACAAAGCACGGTTCCATTTAAAAGATTATTTCATACAAAATTATAAAAAAAAATTTTCAATTTATGCAAAATGGTTTCTACTCGAATTGGGATGTACATTTATGTGATGTGTTTAAGCAACTAAATAAACTAAACGAATAATTTTCTGACATTATAGCCAAAGCCCGTACTGGTTACCTTAATTTGTTATATTTTTTATTTGCCTTTTCAGGTTCCTTTGATAATATTTGTGAAATATTTGAGACCCAAAGACCGTCTGGAAGTTATTTTATAATATTTGTATTATATCGCATAAGTTCTGTTAATAAAATATTAAAGTTAAATTCATGTTTTCATTCATTAACTTAATTATGTAAGAGCAAAAGCCGATAGTTGCCGCTTGCTTCAATTAATTATCGATATTTGTTGGTGAACTAGTTCCGAGGACTAATTGAAGCGACTCTGTCACCACTTGCCGTTTATTTTTGTGTTATTCTAATTTATTTCCAAGTAAAACGACTTTTTTTTCGCTTTCGTTGCTTTCTGGTACTTTGTTTGAAACTGAAAGTCAAAGTGCCAGGACCTGGACAACATTTTCCACATGCAGCTGGCCATATCGGTTCCGATTGCCACTAGAAAATTGACAATTGACAAGTAGGCCAAGACATCTTTCATTTCTTACCTCATGGCAAAAGTTGTAATTGATTCATTAGTTTTATTTGTGCATCAGCCGAGTCGAGAACTGAGCAAAAAAAAGTTCCCAAAAGCGGAAGAAATTGTTGGAAAATAATTGTTTTTGGTTGAATTTTGTGTTTAATTGTTTGTTTATTGAAAATGCAGTACATGTCCGATGAATACTTTCGTAAATCTGTGAATGTTCGCGTAAGTTTTCTGTGGAGTTATGGACCCACAACTTTTACTTGAACTTTTGTTTGCAGATATTGGGGCGTAGTCCGCCCTATTATCCGGGCAGAGTGTCTGAACACTCTGTCCCTCCCGTGGATGAGTTTGTGAGGCGTGCAGAATCCATGACCCGACGCTACGGGGATAATTACTTGGATGGTCGACGGGACATCAATTCTCCGCCGCCGCCGGTGCCACCACCGGAGCCGCAAAATGCTGATTGGCTGCCGAGTCCACGTCGCAACGCATTTCCTTTGCGTCCTCTTGACGATGCTCAACCCAATGAGCGTGTTGATCTACCACTCGGTGATTACTCAAAGGAGGACACAAGCTTCATGGACGAATTATATGCAACGCTGACAGAAGGCCGAGGCGATCACGGCTCTAACTTTGCTACACGCCGTAATGACTCGCCCATTGCCACACGCCGTACAGAATCACCCATTGCCACACGTCGTAATGGTTCACCCATTGCCACACGCCGTAATCAATCACCCATTGCCACACGCCGCAATGGACCAACTATTGATCTTGCATCGTATATGAACATATTCAGTGAAAACCTGCCAGGTGGCCGTGCAGACAAATCTCCTACTGATGCACGTCGCAGTGGATCCTGGAATCTTCTAGAGCGCATCGGTTCCCCTGTTGCTCGAGGTCGCAGTGGATCCCGATCCCCTACTGTTACACAATGTGACTATGCCAATGCCTTCAGGCAGAACCTACCTGATGGTCCTGCACCCATGGAACGCAACATGGACTCCATGAATCCAATGGGTAATTATTTCCACTATGCTTTGGCATTCGGTTGACTTATTGTGGGCTTGAAAACTACTTTTCAGATCCACACTTTCGCACCCAAACATCGAATCAAGGCCGTCGTCTCTTAAACGCCGAACCCTGGTCCGACTATGATGAAAATTACGATGCCAATCGCAGCTATATGGAATTCAATGGGGATCGCAGATCCCAAAACCACTCCCTAAATTCTGAATATGGGAATCGCAGCTTCGAGAACTTCGATGCCAATCGCAGCAGCTATAATTTCGATGCCAATCGCAGCTTCGACAATTACAATGCCCACCGCAGCTTGGAGAATTTCGATACCAGCCTGCGAAGCTTCGATGGCAATCGCAGTTCCTTTTACTCAACTGATTACCTTGGTGGCAACGATTCTGGATTTATAAACGAGCGTTCAGGCTATGGAGCTATTGAACGTCGTAACTTTGGCAACTTTGGCAACTTTGACGGCTCAAAAGATGGTCTCAATCAAGGCTACACTCATCGTGGAATCAATTCGCTGCTAACTTTACCTCTGACATTGGGCAGCAAGCGCATGGCAGATGAATTTGAGCTGGAGGATCGCTGGGCAGAGAAGCGCTCATGTCTTGAAGAGACACCTGCCTTCTTTCGTGTTGGTGGCTACAAATTGAAGTATGCAAGCCATAATCCAGGCCTTATGCTGCCCCAGACGGAAGAATTATCTCACGCTGTGCGTTTCTTCAAGAAGTATCCCGTCTATCGCATTCGCTCGAGTAATTCCCAGGTTCCAACCTCATTGCAGTGCAACTTCATCGAAGCCAAGGATATGGCGGATGGCGGCCCAGAGATTCGCCACACCATATCCGAGGAGTGGAAGACGGTTTATCGCGAGAAGGGCTACCGCTCGTGGGGCAGTTGGTGGAGCGACTTTCGGGATTGCGGTGCTGCCATACGCCAGGAGCTGGATCGTTTCGATGGCTTCGATGTGAAGAAGAACTTTCAGCCGCCCGAAGGCCCTATCGATTCGGAGGAATACCTTTCCTTGGCCATCTCTGCTTTGAAGCAGAACAACATCACGTATCTGAAGAACATGCGAGACATTTATCGTCTTGTGGATTTTAATGTCTTGGAGAATCTAACCGCTGACGCGTCTGGGCATCTGCAGGACATTATACGCTTCATTCCGAATCATTTGTGGCGCTACAAGATGCGCGGCATGGTGTATCTGTGGACCTGGTACCAAAAGATGGCCAACTGCGGGAACACCGACGATCAGACGCACCAGGCCATAATGCCTTTGTGGAACAATCCGATTCTCCACTGGCTGGCCAAGCAGGCCTTCGACGAGTTGATTGCCATGAGCAAGATCGAGTATAAGAAATTCAAGGAGGAAATTTCCCATGGTCTACCCAAGCAAATCAACGATCCCAACCAAGAGGAGCAGGCCTGCTGAATGAATCTCTCATTGTTTCAACTCTGTTTTATCCATTTAATCAAATATAATTTAACCAATCAAAGAAGCTTTATCGCTTTAGTTTTTCGTACGAGCAGAGCCATAATTTTAGCTCAATTTATTCACCTGCTTCAGCTGCACAAAGTTGTTTAATTTGTTATCCCCAAAGTGCACCTGAGACCCACAGTCTGCACACAGAAAATATAATTAAAGCAGAAAAGAAGCAAAGGCAAAGGCAAATGAATAAACCAACAGCCACGGAAAATGACGATACAAACCAAAAAGAAGAGAGGGGAAAACAAAAATGCAAAACGCTATTGCATATTAATCCGACAGAGTATTTCACTCAGAAGAGCCCGGCCCTGCCCTGCCCTGGCCTGGACCTGTACAGGGTGCTCCGAGCGACCGGGAGATATCGGGACCCGCTGCCTGAGAGATGGGCGACCGCGAAAGACATTTATTGTATCCTTAGCGCGGTTGACAGACGCGTGCTGAGACGATGATGAATTTGCTGCCGCCAATGCCGCACCGCCATTTCGGCTAGCCTGGCAGTCTGCCTGCCTGCCTGCCTGCCACCCATCCGCAGATGACGATGACGGAAGCGTTGAGTGTACAAAGTGGAAAAGGAGGCTGGTGGCCCAACCAAGCGGCAGAAATGGCGACAGACAGCCCTGGAGACAGACGATGAAGGAGGCTGGAGCTGGGGCAACAGCAGCACGAACAAGTGACGAAAAAAATGCAAATAAAATGCCGGCTTATTGAGTCAGTGGTGCGGGTGCGGGTACCACACAGAGACACTCGCGGGTCTTGGTTGCCTGCCTGGCAGTTGGGGGCCAACGAAGACACTTTTTAGTTGATTGAAAAAGGTGATGTCAAGGCTTTTTTTTGTGTGTGTTCCTTTCTGCTATTTTATGCTTTGTTGACCTTTTTTTCTCAGTTAAATATTTTAGAAGTTTTTTTACTTTTGATAAGCAAATGCTTGAGCTATTCTTAGTATTAAAGTTGAACCATCAGAGATGGATGATGGAAATATCCAAACAAGTTTTGCCAGGGAAATGGGATGATATTTTCTTAAGAGAATTTATACTTGGGTGGGGCTATAGTTATGTTTTTATTTTGTTAATAGTTTCTTACATTAGTTGTACTTTTATATACTTTTATTAGTCTTTTATTGTTCAGGCTTCAAAATTATTTCTTGCTCATGTTCTTGTGGTGATATTTCACCCAAGTTTCTCACAGTAGCTGGTGATAAACATCTACTGATTAGAAAAACCACAACAACAAAAAGATAGAAAAAATAGTTAGCTCTCAGAGAAAGTATTCCGCTTGAGGCTTCAACTTTGGTAGGCCGCCGCGAGACTCCAGGGGAGCTGCATTGAAGACTTCAAGGTGAAGCTTTAGATTGTCATCCAAGTTCAGGTAGGAAGCCACATTGCCGCAACGATAACAATAGTTGGGTGCCGACCAGACGGTCAGAACGGTCTCTTTAAAATGATATTTGTACCCCTCCATGGCCAGCTGGTGGGCTCGACAGATTACGGCAAGACCGTTGTTATGGTTAAATTCGGCAACAACGTCACCGCCGAAGAGATAGCCGGCCCCACGGGGAGAGACACTCCAACCGACTTGTTCCTCTGGATCGCTCCACATTAGGTCACACATGCTGCCATCGTGGGGTATCTCCTGCTTGCGATCGATAAGGCGGATCTCGTCCAGGCGCGTAATCGACGGCGATAGGCCACCGTGGACACAGAATACTGTGCCATCGATGACGGCCGAAAGGCTCATGTAGTCAAAGACGTCCGTGCAGTAGAGCCACACGGCCGCGGAGCCGTACTTCAGCATGCACTCATTATAGAATCCGTAGACCTGGGTGATCTGGCGACACTCGTGATTGCCGCGTATCAAAGTAATGCGATCCGGATAGCGCACCTTCAGGGCCAGCAGCAGCTGGATTGTCTCCACGCTGTAGTACCCACGATCCACATAGTCGCCCAGGAAGAGATAGTTATTCGCTGGCACACCGCCGCTAATGCGAAACAGCTCCATCACATCGTAGAACTGCCCGTGGACATCGCCCACCACAATCACGGGGGTGTCCACACGCTGCACGTTCGACTCCTCAATGAAAATCTCTCGGGCCTTGCGGCACAAGTCACGCACCTCGATCTCAGTGAGGTGTTCGCAGCGCTTTAGCTGCTCGATCTGGCGATCCAAGTTGGAAAATGTCGACATGTTGTCTGCACAAAGAAAGGGCAGGTAAAGAGGGAGTAATGGTGTAAGGCATGTTGATTTTTTTTACCTGGAACACTTTCTGGTTAGACACGTTCGAGCACGCTCGCTTCTCGTTTTTCTTTCGGCTTCTCGTCACTTTTTGGTAGGTGCAAAAGTTGAGCTCACCTGTAAAATGTAATAAGGAAATGCTTAAAGTGTTTGCACATACAATTAGAATGATTATTCTAAGCTGAAAGCAGCAAATTACAAACAAGTTTGCAGTGCAATTGTTGCTGCTGTTGCCGCTGCACGTGGCTGGTAAACAACAAAACGTGGGACGAGTGTGGAGTAAGCCAAAGCAATTTGTTGAAGACGGATGTGATGTGAATACTGTTAGTATTGTTCCTGCTCAATAATACGGATTATTGTATTTATTTTATACCAACTAATAAAAGTTGTATTGCCCGGCCACCAAGCGTGTCCTATCGAGTAAGTTCCTTGTCTGCGGATGGCACACATTGATGTGATCGATGTATCGATCAAGGCATTCCCTTTACAAAGACACTCTGCCAGATCTTATAAATTGATAGTCGTACTCCATTTACATGGAAAAACATCTTTTGCATCAATAACACAACATATTTAAGCATATTTATGCCTGACATATCTGCCGTGTGCTATCGATATTTATTTTTGGTTTGATCAAATTATTGGGTATACATGAAACATGGAGAGAGCCACTTGTAGCCGCTCTACTCCATACGTTGTTGTATAGGTCTTCCTGTATTTATTTTACATATATAGAAATATTATTTATTTTAGTTTAAATTGTGGCAGCACCTCACATACGCGCCTCTGCCTATCGATACAGCTGTTTGCCATCGCTAGCACGTGCAGTCCGAACGCGAATTTCAAGTTTCAACTTTTAACCGTAGCGAATGCCATTCGCTGAATGAATGGACTGAATGCATTGTTATTTCATACGAATAAGACATTCCTTTGCTGGCGAGTGCACATCCCATCATTTGCGTCAATCGCTGAGTGACGTCTAGTGCAAAAGGAGAAGCAGGCACGAGGTGTGTAGGTGGAAAGGCGGAAACACTCACACAGGCAGAGGTATGCAAACAGAAAATTGTAATAAAATGTTGAACAAGGAGAAACAAGTAGGTGTCGGGTGCAGATCCCACACGGCAGAGCACAGTTGGATATCGCGTGCTTACGCATTTATCGGGCCCGAGCCAGGCCAGGCCAGGCCAGGCCAGGCCAGAGGCTGGCTTACACATGAGATGAGGCCCAGGCTAACGCTATAATATTTAATTTAAAATTGTATCCCCAGGCATTTGCTTTTCCTTGTGACTTTGTGTAGCAGGCAAGCGAGCGGCAAGTGAAAAAGTGTCACACTTTACCAGCTCCAGCTCCTCGCCAGAGACACTCGCAGTGGCTTATAAAAAGGAAACTGACTCTGGCGTCTGCCAAAAAAACTCGCTCTAAGTCGCTCTAAATCAAATTGCAGACTGGGGGCAGGGAAACGATTTTTGTGGATTTGTGCGCCACGTTGAACGATGTTTTATCCTCCGAGATGCGGATATACAGTCTGTCATTTTGGAGGTGCAAATATGTAACAGGCATTGGACTATATTTGGAAATGCTAAACTTAAGCTTAAACCCTTTAAAAGACAAATTGTGAGGCTTCTTTCGAGTTGAGTGTGAGGCGGCACACACACGCAGTGTGCTGTAATTAATTAAAATTCAATTAAGAACAAAGTACGCACGTACAGCACAGCAGCCACAGGCAGAAAGCGCTGCTTCTCAATCATCATTTACATTTTGGGCCAAAACGAAATTAACCAAAATAGAGAGAGACAAAGAGACGGACAATGCATGACAATGTAATTGGTAATCTACGCACAAAGTGTACGTTTTGCTTGTTAATTGAAAATTAGCTTCTCATAATTCATTTACACGAATTTTCTACCTTAAATTGAAAGGCGAAGAGCGAAAGACTGGCTGGTCTCACAACACAGAGTCTGCATTGATATCATTATCGCCGTGTACAATTGATGATATATTTGCAGTTATTTTCAGTTATTTGCAAATATAGCCAATGATTCCACTGATTAATAAATGATTCTTTATTAAATATGGTTATGCAAATGTGAAGTGAGGAAATCAGAGGTGACAAAGCAGCGGAAATACGACACACGACACATGAATAAATATTTGTACATGCGTATGCCAAAAAAAAATATCAATTAATTTGCAATTAATCACAGATTCATTGCGAGTCAAACATAATTTAAATCAAGGCGGGGTTGGGTTGCTTAACTTAAATACAAATAGCTTTAAGTTCGAGTAATCAGACAAGGTCACCCATGCAAATCGTGTTCTATGTTATCAAATTATTTCAGTTCTCTGGGAGAACATAACCAGTCAACATCAATATTAATCATACAACAAACAGCAAACAGAAAGTAGACAAACAACATGGCATCTAAAAGACTGGACTGGAATATTTAATGCACCATACAATCGCATCCAGGGGCGTGAGCTGACCTTGATCAATCCCACGCAAATGAAATTGTAAATGGTTATTGGTGAAAACATATTGTAGAAAAAGATATACATTCTTGGAGTAGGCAGTAATAATTAGGGTCTGTGTAATTTCTTGAGCCAGAATTATCTGGATAAAATCAATAATTCTTCCTCAGATTATAATCGTTCCCTTCTACGTTCCACCTGATCCTCCACAATGTTGCCCGGAAATGCCACTCAACGCATTGCATTTATAATATTTCTCTTTAGCTTTTTGGGCTAAAATAACAACTAGACGCCAGGCACTTTTCCATAAATATTAAAATGACATTGTTACAGCTTTCCACTTACAGCAAATAGTCAAATGCGAGCATAAATCATCACCAACAGAACAGAACATAGTGACAAAAAGTGAAACCTGATTTGTATTCTCCCCTCTCATGTGTATTTATTTTTAACTTTGCTAATAAAATGCGAGGCGAGTGTTTGCAGACTGCATAAATTGCCAGAACATTTGTAAATGTTTTAGTTTCGTGTGCAAAATAACACTGGAGTCGAGTCCAGCATACAGTGGGGAAGGATTGAAAACTCCTATTATTTTCTTTCCGAGTAAAAACTTAATATTGATTCAACAAATATGCAACAAAATGTATACGTGTAACCCAAGCGTCCACTTGCACCCACTTCTGCCCCATCTGGCACCCATTTAATGACAAAGTTAGAGGACACATTTTCCACATTTTTGGCTTTTCGGGCTTTGCATGACAAATTGCATTTGAGGTATTTCACCTGGACATTGATTTAATTATCAAATGCATTTCCTTTTTTTCCCTCTTGTGACCAACAATGACAGAAAGACCTACGAGAAGGTGGTTTAATTTTACCCAATTTTCCGGACAGACACACACAGGGGGAGGCATGTGGAATCTGAGGAGAGCTGACATTTCCGTACTAACCCCACACTCCTTGCATTCTGTGGCATGTCCTGTTCTGTTGTCTGGCGGCTGTCTGCCCGTTTGAGTAATTTCATTATGAGTTTTAAGACTTTTAATTAATTTAAAAGTGAACAATTTTACACTCTTTTCATAACAACTTCCAATGGGTCTGGTGCTGGACTGGCTCTGGCTCTGATTCTGTCCCGCCAGTCCATTCGTCTGGGTGTCTGCCGCCTCTCTCCAGATGGTCAGCCTTTGTCCGGCTTCTCGGGTGTACATTTGTCTGGGGTCTGGCTTCGGGTCCGGAAGAGTGGCATAATTTCCGCACAAAACTTGATGCAAACATTTCATCTGCTGCCATTCGAGCAACTGGCATCCACAGAGCAGGAGTCTGGCATCAACAGCATTCAATTAATTTCCCAAACGTAACGAAACTTTTGCTTTTGCCCCGTCCAACATCCGGCATTGTTACAAACTTTAATGCTTATTTACGTACAACAAAAGTACGGATTATGCGGGGAACATCATAAAAGTTGTATCGACCCGTTAAGTCTGTTAACTTGCAAATGAAATCAGAGAGAGTTTCCGTCACATATAGTTGGCCATGAAATGTCAATGCCTGTTCCCCACTGCTCCCTAGACTCTGAAACTATAAACAACAAACCAAAATTCTCTCGACTAAAACGTTACCACAAAAAGACACAGCGACATGTCGGCCGAAGTTGAGGAGATGCTGAAGCATTTCCATTCCATGAAGAACGTTGCGGGCATCGTTGTGATTGATAACGATGGCATACCCATTAAGAGCACCCTGGAACACACGCTGTCTGTGCACTATGCGGCCACAATGCAGACCCTGCTTGAGAAGGCCCGCCAGGTGGTCCTCGACTTGGATGCCACCAATGAGCTATCATTTCTGCGTATGCGAACCCTGTACCATGAGATTATGCTGTGCCCAAAGGCCGATTACTTTATCGTGGTCATACAGAACCCAAGCGAGTAGGCAACAAAAAATTCAAAAATTACGTTCCTGATTAAAACTGAATTCCGCGCATTAAAGTATTTATTCACATCGGACACACAGTTGAGCCTCCCTCCACGTTTTATTTGCTATAAAAGTCAATTACATAGAATTAAAGAAATGTTCAGTAACTGAAATGTTAATAACATATCCAACAATGGATAGACGGGTTGGGTTTGGTAATTGAGGGAATCCTATAGAGGGCTCTGGGCTCTAGGCATTCGCCATCGCACATTTCAGGCAGGCATTAATGATATTCGGCATCGTTGCAAATTATTGGCATTGGGAATTGGAATTGAATTGAAATGCCATTTGTGCGTGGTGAGTCTTGTTCAATATGTATATCCGTATCCTCTCTCGGAATCCACACATTGCGCCGCAGTTCAGTCCCGCTCCTTGCTCCTCCATTGGGCCACAGCCTGATCCTGTGCCGGCAAACTCATTTACAATAAATGAAGACTGACTGAGGCAGCCACCGCCACGAAACAAATGAACTCTTTTTTTTTTTTGTATTTTGTGGCCCTTGACAGGATGCAGGAGCACACACACGAGGGTCTGGTGCTGCTGAGGGTTTTGCTATTTTTCATTTAATTAAATATTTAACATGCAAAGTGCATTATGAGCCACCAGGCAGGATGAGGCAGGCACGAGGCACGAGCAGGAGCTCTCTCATCCATCCACCACAGACGATAACTAAGTAAAGTTTGTCGGTGGGAATGGCAATGGCAGACAGGATGCTGGCTGGCTGTGGGGGACATCACATCGATGATTATACATCCATCTGTCCCTGTCCATGTTTGTCGAGGGCAAAGCTGTTGGCTTGTGATAATTCCATAAACATCAAATTGCATGAAGTGCGTTCAAGCGAAGTGCAAAATGGTTGCAAAATCGGTTAAGTGTGTCACAGGAGCAGCACCAGAACGAGGAATGCACCAAGTCCGGGTCCAGCCACTGCCCAGGACAGGACTTCGCCTGCGGTCACTTGCAGGTGCAGCTCTCGATGAGTATATGTATGAGGGTCGTTGATTTGCTAGTCATGGCTGAGTGAAGCTTCAAGCCAAAAGCTGATATCTAATCAGATGGTGAGGTTGCAAGCAGATTTCGATTTCCACCCTAGAAATGTCAGTGGAAAATGAGTTGACTTTATTTAAAACATTTCAAAACTGATAGGTCCCATTCGACTTTCACCTGTCAGCATGTCCTGTTCAATTCAATTTTTGTGCCTCACAAGCATCTAAATATTTCCATTTTTCTTGCCCAACAATAGCCCGAAAAATAATTTCCGCATTTACCATTCATCGCACCCGGTTCATGTATGACCAATCAATAGAAGCACCAATCAACGAAGCAACGCAACTGGAACCCAAGAGTGGCAGCATCATGTCAGCATCGAAACAGGGCCCGAGCACAGCGCCAAAGCCGAAGAATCGGGGACACCTCCCGTGGCTGCGTGACGCCTTCAAGCAGCACGAACATCGTGGGGATGGAAAGATATCCGTTGAACATCTGGGGGACTGCCTGCGTGTGATGGGCGCTAATCCGATGGAGTCCTTGGTGCAGCACCACATCCGACAGCTGCAGGCAGCGGGCCTGCAACGCATCTCCTTCGATGAGGTCCTGGCCATCTACACCGGCCTGGGCAAGAACTCGGCTGTGCTGGACGCCAAACAGGGCCAGGAGAAGGCCGCAGAGTTCATCTCCAGCTTGCGGCTTCTGGATGTGCAAGGCACTGGCTACTTGCCCGCCGCCCGATTGAGACGCGTTCTAAACAAATGCAGCGAATGCCTCAGCGAGGAGGAGATGGATGAGCTGCTGAAGGATCGCGTCAATGATCAGGGCCTGGTCAACTATGTGGATCTGGTGCATGCCATTATGGATGCTTAAAGAGTAGAGAGTTTGAGTTGAGTTACAATAAATATGTGGGACCAAAATGTTCGGTGCAAAATGTTCTCTTTCTATCGAAACTCCTTCGTGCATTGTGCAGGCAATTCCGCTCTGCACTGGCCACAGAGTCAGTGCTTTTGGTTAACGACTGACCCAGAAATGCAACTCGCGGCAGCAATTGACAGTTGAGTTCATCATCATTTCGGTTTCGGGTATGACTGGCCTAAAGTGGAATTGATGGCTAAAGCCCCGTCCCACCATTTGGCAGTGCCACGGAATGGTAATGCGTGAGAATGCCTCCAGCTTTGGCCAGCGATTCAGTCGGTAGTTTGGGGCCATAAATGAAATGCAAAAACATGGCTCTGCCTTGTTGGATCTAGCCTGGTCGAGTAGCATATGCAAATGCTGTCTGTCGGAAACATTTGTAGCCCAAAATTGCTGACAAAATTCCCAACAAATTTCAGTTCCAATGGATAACAAAGGCAACAATCTCACGCAATATGATGGCTGTGATCTTTTGTGCACAAGTCCAACCATTATGAAATTCAACGCGCCCTACAATAGCAGCCAGAGACGTATACTGACCCTAATGAATCTCTTTCCGAAGCCAGTGCTCTTCAAGGTGAAGTCAAATGCGTCGAAACAGTACCACGTGGAAGGCTGCACCGGCCGGCTAGATCCCTACAGCAGCTTCGAGGTCAACATTACCTTAAAGTACTTTGACTTCGATGCCGAGTGCCAGTATGATCATCACTTCAGAATTCAGTCGATCGTGTGCCCGTTTAGTTTTGTCCAACAGGACAACAACTCTATTCTGGCCTTCTTTAAGCAGATTCACCGCTCGAGGCTTTCCAATGCGCGCATCGACGTTTTTCTGGATGCCAATCCCGTGTCGCCTCCAGCCAAGTCGCCACTGGACTCTGTGGCCATGGGACTGCGGAAGGCCTCACAGCGTGTGATTGCCAGCCAGGTAGCATCTCTGGTATCCAACCGCCAGAAGGAGACCGACAATGAGGTCCATCTCTGCAATCGTACCAACATAACCACGGAGTCCCTAAATGGATCGGATTCGCTTCTGTTCTCCATTCGTACAAAAATCCGTGTAAGCCTGAGCGAGTTTCCAAGTATGTTTCAGTGCTTCATATTCTGCGGAGCCGTAGTTGCAGGTAAGCAGAGGCTTCTATTCCGAAACATTTTACATGGGTTTAATACTGTTTTTCCGCATGCAGTTTTAGTGTTTTTCGTGCTGATGAATTCTGAGGATATAGATGGGGGGTATGGAGTTATATACTAAATATTTGAAGAACCATCTGCGAGAATGTACCAATGGTACCAATAATATATGAATTCATATAAATTTTGATAATTTAACTTCAAATACAATGTATTTGACTTCCTATTGAAAGGGCTCCTGCGACAAATCAGTTTGAAAGCGGAGGCCATGGCCATTGGCTAATTGGCGGCCATAGTTCATTAGCGTGTGAATCGCACGCTGATTAGCCGATTGAATTTGTATACGCGGTGGCATTAGGTGTCGCTTCCATAGACACCCATAATAGGGTTGACCTGCGGTGAGCTGGGTGTCGGAATACACTCCGATTGTTGCGACCTAATTGGAATGTTCCTGATTAAATGATTTATACGAGCGTTTTATAAGCTTCACCGAATTAATGCCAATGCCGATGTGAACATCGCCCAAGTTTTCATTTGTTTGCGTATAGGCCAACGGTTAATTAGTTATGTACCGTTTTATGCACACTATTACAAATAATTTGGTTTCTTCAAATGGATGTGGCTTGAGTAGATCGCTGAGGCTTGGAGCTCTCTTCTCTCTTTGTTAGCATAGACGGCCACTGTTAGTCTCTCTCTCTCTCTCTCTCACTGTTACTTGATTTGTTAACGCTACAGAGCCTGTTGCTCGCTGTCAACTCTGCAGACACTAACCCGCTGTGACTCTGCAGACTCTGTACATTGTGTGGACTTCACAAAAAATATAATAAAATATAATGTATTAAATTTTATGCTTGATGAATGCTTGTTGAATTGAAAAGTAAACAAAAACATCAAGAACTTAATGACAGCGGCATACCATTACCAGACAAGTCTGGTAACAATTCCAACTAATCTCAGCTTATAAAGTTTTCCCAAAAACTCCTCCTGTTGGCATTGCCAGTCAGATAAACCGAGTAGCAAATGAGCAAAATCATGCCATCGTCCTTGTCCACGGCCCTGTTGTCCCCTGTATCGGATTCCCTTGGGGGGCGGGAAAAGGCCCATTCCATTCATCGGAGATGGGCAAAACGAACAAGAAATGTCGGGGCCATAAATTAGCATCACTTAAGTGGGCAGACGACGGGGTGGTCGAGAGCATCGGATACCATTGAGGACCGACCCCTGAGGGGGCGTGTAATCCTTTCAGCGATTAATTGCAGACCCCGCAGGAAATTGGGGCGACGGTGAGGGAATGTGAATATAAATAGCTAATCAGAGAGGGAGTCTCTGACAAATGTCATATGGGACTGCAAATGATATCGCTAAATCCCCAAACTCAATCAATTGGCCAATTGAACCGCAGGAAGACAACAGTGAGGAGCATTTAATTATAGCTATGTAGGCTGTAAGATGTGACCTCGTAGAGATTTCTATATCTAAGTTAAAGAGAGCGAGAACTCATGTTAAAGTTCTCACTTATGGGCTGTAACCTTGGGCACCTATTCACCCTATTGCGTTTCACATTCTTTCTCCAACTCTCATGGTTTCTGTCTTTCTCTCTCTCTCTGTGTGACTCTTTGGCTCATTCTTTCTGTGGTGACTGTGGCTGGGACACACTTTTGATACCATAAATCGTTTTTATGGCTTTCCATTACGTTGGGCAACGGTAGAATGTAGTACGCCCGTGGCAGCCTTGCACTCGTAACCCATTTTCCATTTTCCAGTACGCACCGCTTTTTTCGCACTAGGCCACACATTTGTGCAGCCTGTCACCAATCGGTGACTTATGGCCTTTTCCATGGTGCGAGGGGGTGTTGGGTCGCAGCAGTGCAGTTGCAGTGCAGTCAACTGAAAACACACCGAGCCAAAATAAACAAAGGAAAAGGTTAAGGAAAAGTCTAAGGGAAATGCATTCAGCAAGGCCGCTTCGCTGCGTGTGAAGGGACTTATCGGGGTCTTCTCCCGGACTCTCGGGCTTCATTTGCCTGCCAGCAAGGATCTTTCTGCCAGAGGGAGAGCAGAGGGAGAAGCCCTCTGTAGCACTCTGTTCACCTTGACTCATTCGAAGAGGATTTTCCTCCATCATCTGCAGCCTTTCCTCATTCGCTTCCTCGCTCTCTCCCTCTCCCATTTGCATTGCCCCTTTTTCCGTTGGTATTTCCCGTTTGTTTGGCTTTGTTGTTGCCAGCCTGCCCCTTTACCATTTTTAATGAGTTGCAAGCCAAAGCTGAGGGGTCCTGCAGCTGCAGCTGCTGCTGCACCTCTCAAAGCGGTCAAAGTGCAGCAGGAGGCACGCAAATATATGCAACATTCGGGGGGAACACAGCTTTGAGCATTTCCCCTAGCTATCTACAAGGACAATTTTATGCTGTTTTTAAGGAATATATTAAAAAAACATTTAATGTTTTTTTTTTTTTTTGTGTTTTAAAAATGCCCAACAGTTGAGTTAGCGTTATAAATATTTTTGTTGCTTTTCGTTTGTATTTTCAAGCGCTGCATCGGCGGCTTGTGGTGCTTTTAATGGAGCAGCAGAATTAAGCATGCAGCTTTGATCAGACTGAGGGCAGAAGGAGAGAGAAATATCTGAAAAGCTCAACGCCTACATACATACAATATGTGTAAAATGAAACTACAAGCAGTACACGTACACATGCTGCAGAGCATTGGGATGCATCGTTTACAAGCCCCGTTAGAAGCGTGAGAGAGAGACAGCGAAACAGCTGAGTGCGAAGGTTAGCTATAGGAGAGAACAGTGCAGCAACGAAGGAGGTGGGATGGACAGACGAAAGACCGGTCGCTGCTGCGCGTAAGCATATGCTAGTACAGTTAGCATTTACAGTTAGCAATGGCAATAGCGAACAATATAAATCTTTTGTGTGCGGATGTATTTTAAGCATTTTACGACTAAATATAGGGCTGGGCAAGAAATATTATCTAAAATTGATAATTAAATCATAAATGGATGCTCTCACCTGTTGTTATTATAATAGGTTTCATTTTAATTCAGGATTGATAGGTATGACAGTCAGGCTCTAAAAAATGTACAAAGTGTACTGTAAACTTTTGGGCAAGGGAAGGGAAGCGTTAATTTAAATAGCACTCCGGCCATTTACATATTTTCCATAACGCGAAAAACTGCAGTTTTTTGTTTCGTCAACTCGCTTTGAGTTGATTCCACGCCACTCTGCATTTCAGATTGAAATAATGTCAGAATGCAATGCAAATGATTTCACTTAAAACATACACACAGAAGCCAGAAAAATGGCAATAAAAAGGGATAAAAGATACATACACATGTATGAAAGGAAGAGGATAAAATCACTTTACTGTGAAGTGACTGGTAGCGGCTTACGCATCGCATCGCTAAATATTAAAGTGGCAATGAATACAAATTGTCTCGTCAAAAGCCTGACAATCGTTTTTGCCGCATCGTAGTCGTACAGAAGTACTTTCAGAGCAACCGCAGGACAATGGAGTAGCAGGACACACACACGCACACAAACGGAATGGGATGTCCATCAAAGCCGAGAGACCAGGGACCAGTGACCCAATTGAAGAATTGATTGAGTAAGCATTTAAAGAGGCGCCCTCCCGTTTGAGCCAGCCCTCAAAGTATAGTCCAACTGGCAGTAAACTCTCGACCTAAGTGATTCTTAGTTAGTTAATTGGATCAACTATGTTTGTGCCTCCGCTTCAAGCAGTTTCCTGCTCTGCTAATATGTAAATTTATGTGTACAAAAGTTGAGCGCAAGTGGGGGGGGGCGAAAAAGAAAAGTTTTTCCCGGCACCAGCAGCTGGTGCCGCCAGCAAGTAGTTGGACCAACTCCAAGTTCAATGGCTCCGAGTTGAGGCTTTAATAAGCTGGCCAATTAGTCGAGTCCATTAGAATATACGAGGCGGGGCAGTATAATCTTCAAGTTTCACAAACGCCTCGGATAGATCCGTGTCAAGTGCCACTCCGCTCGGAACAAAAAATGAGAATTAAAGAGACAGCCCGAAGCATGGCATGGCCTCCAAAATCAAGACGAGAATATACCAACAGTTCGGGCCAAGGCCAAATCAAATATTTGACAGCCAAAGAGGGAAAAGCTGTCGAAAAAAGTGACAAGAATGACGGCTGAGCCACCGAGGAGCAGTGCAGCCAGCGCCAGACCGTGTCCATCCATCCATTATTCAAAATGCTCTCCAGGCTCCACTCCACTCCATTCCAAATTAAACGACAATCCATTAAACATATAAATTCAATTGATGAAATAAAATGAAAATTAAATTTCCTTCCTTTCCTCCCATCGCTTCTCTTGTGGTCTCTTGTGATTGAAATGAGTTATGCAGGAAATTCGGTTGTAATATTTTGATGGCTAAGAAAACCAATCCAGAGGTCGTTGTTAATGGCATTTGCGCAGAGCTCGAGTACAGAGTTTTTGCCTGGCTCAATTATAAAAATGAGTTTGCTAAATTGTTGTACAGCTTGTGGCTGGCAGCAGCACACTTAAGCCACAAGAAATTGCAGAAAGTGGAGGGAGTGAGCGAGAGCTGTGTAAATTGTGGCAGGAACAGAACTTAATGACATTTTAACTTATGCTTTTCTGTAGTTAATATCGCAAGTGTGTGAGAGCATTACGTATACAAATTATTACTACAATTTAAGTTGTGCAAATGGGAGCGGAAAGTAAGTGGAATTTGTGGGACTAACTCGAATGTTTCCTCAGAGTACACCCAGCAATGGGGCTAATGCACACCCCCAACGCCTTCATTCGGAAATCAAGTGCTTAGCATTTAAGCAGCTTACGAGGTGCCCTAAGCCTGATGGCCAAGGTGTCTGACAGCAGATCAAATTGAGCCAAGAGACCACCGCAAACAGCACATCAACAATTGGACTTGTAAGTCGGCTAAGAACTAACAAGAAAGAAAATCCAGCCGAAGGGTAATCGAGTCAAGAGATACCCTTGCAGTGTTAGTGTTCGTCTATGAACTGCTCACAGCGAATGATTTCTTTCTGCAACAGCAAAAGTGGAGGGGGAACAGTGAGCGCTAACAGCACCATATAGCAGTGAGCTGTTAATGTTAACCTCTGCTGTTAACAGCGTTGGTGCTCTGTAAAAGCGGAGGCTCTGTTCCTGGTGGTCTTCCTACCCATTTTCGACTTCCAAATCCCTACTAGAAATCATCATACCTTTTTCAAGAGTAACACAAAAGTAAGTTGTCACAGCTACTACTTGAAGTACCATCGATGTAAACATGTCAAGAGCTAATAAGCAAGGGATACGCCCATGCCCATGCTCATTCCCATTCCCATTCGCATCCCCATTCTTCCTCCTTGGACTGGATCGGATTGGGTTCTGGAAAGTTCATTAAGCTTATGTAAGTTAATTAAAACGCAAACAGGCAAATGGCAAATGATCAAAGTGCCAAAGACAGCGGCGGGAGCAGAGGAAAGGAAAGGTGGCTCACTATGTGGCAGGGTGGCCGGCAGTCAGAAAGGAAGGCAGTGTGGCATAATGGCAAATCACTTTGCACCGCAAACAGAGTCCACTTGCCACGCCATGGCATTGAGACCCCACCACCACATCCACTTGGCCATGTTAGCTGCAACATGTGTCAACTGGTTTTTGAGGTGTGGGGGTGGATGTGCGGTTTTTGGGATGCGGGGATTGTAATGGACACGAGTGGTGGTGGCAGGGGATGGCCGGGGTGGCTGGGGACACCTTGTTCACATTTTGTTGTTGGACAATTTATTGAGGTACATCAATTCGAAAGGCCACGCAGAATTTGGCCATCGCGAGTGCAAAAAGGTCAGCACCAAGTGGATGTCCTGGGTCCAAGGGTGGGCGTTGAATGATAATTACATCGACTCTTCATGGCAGCACAGGGAAATTAATCTTTGTGGAAGTAGTAACTGGAATGCAATTGCCACGCCCACAGACGTCCACAGACAGACCCCAGGAGGGTAATTGACAAGGCTCCAACACCATTCAACAATGTCCTGCCGCTGCCGCTGCTGCAGCTCGTACTTCTTTGGGCTTGCTCCCCTTTGGATACGCATTTGGCTGTAATTAAAAATGCAAACTATGTAAATTACGTTTTTGGCCAAAGTTTATTGTGTCCCTGACAGGGCAAGGCAGTGACGGTGTGCTGCCACCGCACTGTTGCTCCTTCAGCGGTGTGGTGCACCTTTTGTGTGGCTTGGTTTTGGGCACCCACAATTGTTTACTCTTGCATAAATTATAATTATTAAGTGCAGCCCCAACGCCAGCACGAAACACACAACATTTAGTTGTTGCTTTATTTTCTTCATTTTCTGTGTGTTTTTCCTTTCTCTCCTTTTTTTTGGTTTGTACGATAGCTGCCCTTAGAGAACACTTTTCCAACAGCCACAGTCCTTGGTGCCCCATTTGGGCTATGCAACATTTTAATGCAGTTTGTTTTACTCTTTCCAGCAACACCAACAACAACTGGCAACGATGCCTGCAAGTACAAATACAAATATATGCAGACCAACCTTGTTCCCAGTTCTATTTCCGTAAAATTGTTGTGTGAAAGGGAATTCGAACACAACTTGCAACTGCAAATAAAAACCTTCATAAGTCAAAGAATTCATTGCATTCCTCAGTCAACATTCAACTTATCGGAAGAAGCACTTCTTCTCGCTTTACTTGCGGACAATTTTCTCTATAAAAGGGTTGCATGCTCCCCATTGAAGACAGAACAAAACCCACAAAATTCTAATTAAAACCTCGTTCGCAGCCACTTTGCTGTCTGGTGGACGTGTGCCACATTTGGAGGAACTCATTATTGGCGGACAGGATACGCCCATCGAGAATGATCCTTGGCTGGTGGCTCTACTCGTGAACGGTGAACATATCTGCAGTGGTACCATCTACACCAAAGATTTTATTATAACTGCCGCCCATTGTGTTAGTACGATAAATCCTGAGCAACTTCAAGTTCGAGCGGGCTCATCAAATCGAAGCCAAGGCGGAACAATCAGCAATGTGGCGGCGATCAAATATTACACTGGTTCTCCACGTTTTTCATTGGTGAAGAGCGACATTGCCGTCCTACGGCTAAGTGAACCTCTGATATTCAATGATAGAGTGCAGAGTGTTCCCTTGGCTGATGCAAGATCGACCTGTTGGGGTTGCACGAGTTCTAAAAATCTGTTCCCTGAAGTCCTGCAGAGCGTTGCGATTCCTATCTTAAGCAAAAGACAGTGTCTAAAGTTTCGTCACAACAAAAAGATATTATTTGTGCCGGAGCATCCGGAAAATCAGTCTGCCCGGGCGACTCTGGCGGCCCATTGACGGTTGATAATAAACTTGTGGGAGTCGCCGTATCTGGTGTCATATGTAGGGTGGGGTTCTATTCAAATGTTTTATAATTGTAATTCAAGTCTTCAAAGTCTTTCTTCTACTCTCGGCAGCCACTCTGCTGACTGCTGACTGCTGGACGTGTGCCACAATTGGAGGAACGAATTCTTCTCGGAGAGGATACAACCATCGAGGAGAATCCTTGGCAAGTGGCTGTTGTCTGGAATGGAGCCCATCACTGTGGAGGTTCCATTTACAGCAAAGATTTTATTATAACTGCTGCCCATTGTGTCGATGACGTTCGAGCCCTTTGACTTTCAACTTTCGTGTCTTCTGGTCGACCGTTCCTTACAGGACAGTATGTTAGTAGATTCAAAGTACAACTAAATCCATAATTTTGGTTAATGTTTTCAATTATGTGTAGCTAAATGCTATTGCTTATTGCTGCTCCCCCAGGATCAACACAGCCCCCTCTTCAAAAGGGTAAAATTAAGGCAACAATTATTTTTTCCATCAGGTTTCCTACCTGGCCAGGGCACTGATCAACTAATATTCCAACTGACCTTCCTTCAGCCGAAAAGGCATAATTTAGACCAAAATCCACAAACTTCCCTTTCTAAATTTCCCTGTGGCTGCTTTGAGGGCAATTGAAATGGGGAATTTTGGTGAGTTTGCGTTGCGCATTAAAAACTCTCCTCTCTCGGATTTAGTACTTTCTCTCGCACTCCTCTCTCATGCTATGTGTGTGTGTGTCTGTGTCCGCGCTTTGCTGATGTGTGTTTGTATGGGTGAATCTTTTTGCCGGTTTGTTTATCTTATATTTGAAATTTTTTATGCGCTTCTTTAGCCGGCATTTATGGGCCCATTCAACAGAGCAACAAAAGTGCGTACCGCAATATCTGTATTAGTATGTGTGTGAGTGAATCTGTGTGGGTGGGCTTATGGCTGTGTGGGTTTTTGTGTTTTTGTGAGATTTCAGCTGCCAATTGATTGTTGTGTGAGGCTTTGGATATCGGTCTACGACAGCAGACTACAAATATTTACAAGAGCTTTCATTTGTCTGATAGATTTATTTAAATATTTATGCAATTGGAAATGGTTTTCTTGTTTTCTCCCAGATGGGATTAAAGAGTGGAAATTGATGTCGAAAAAAATACAATTAATTAATAAATTATTTGAGATTTTTCAACACAAAAATCAAAAATAATTAACCCGTCAGCGGGGTTAATCCATTGAGATAAATTATTACTAAAATTCTGCTTCTCTCAGAAAGTCGAATCGATCAACTTTTCACTAGAAAATGTAACAAAAGAGATTAAACTTTGAAAGCTTTTCACTTATTCAACAAAATACAAAAAACACCATAAAAAAAAAAGAGAGTGCTACTGCAATTAATGTTAAACTTTATTGACAATAATTTACGCTTACGACTTGTCCATTTTATGAGCCATAATTCAATTTATGCCCCGCCAGCAACAACCCCATAACCCACTTTAGAGCCCACTCAAGTACCGCACCAGAGAGATACACTTGGACAACAACAAATATAAATATAAATCAACATTCTGCGGGAGAAGTCGGTCCGTTCAACTGGTGTGGAGGATGAGGTAGGAATGAGGATGATGATGATGATACTGCGGCCTGTCCGGGCAATGGTCAATGCGATAATATCTTGTGGAAACTTTGCCCCAAAGAGCTCAAAGAGTCATCGAAAATGTGGGACACCTGTGGTAATGGCTGGCAGCCATAGAAATGAGACCCACTTGAACCAAAACCCCAACAAATGCGACTGCGGGCCAAAAGATATTTAGTTATTTAGAAAGCCCCAGAGTGCAATGCGAATGTGCCAATTTCTGCCTCCATTTCCCCTCACCCTCACCCACTCTCATTCTCTCTCTCACTGTATCGCCGTGTATCTCTCTGTGGGTGAAAACAATTAAAAATTCGTGTCAAAAGAGGTGGCAAGAATTTTAAATGCATTTCAAGGTTCCAACAGTGCAACACGCAATGTGGCACAGCGATTGCATGGGTGCCACAACATTGATGAGAGTGCAGAGACCCCATTTAGTGTAAATTTATTTAAAATTACATACGTCGCCTGCACCAGGCATCCATCGCCAAGTGGCGGCCTTTAATTAATTGCATTTTCCGCATAAATATATGTTTCAAATGTTGTATGCGTCCTGAATTGTAATTTTTGGCGCCACTTTTTGGTTATGGTTCATTAATTCTTTTGCATAAAGCAGAGTCAGAGAGAGAGAGAGAGTCACGGTCACAGACAATACTCAGAGTTCGATTTTACATTGCGTACCGTTTTAGCATTTGTTGATGGATATAAATCTTTAAATTCATTTTGTTGTAACTTTTCGGCACTGAAAACACCGAGAATTTATTTAAAATGAATTTTGCGTTATGTATGAATGGAAATATTAACTTTTTGAGTGACTTAAAGCAGCTATCAGCATGCAGACAGATATCGCGATTTTGCTAACAGAATGGTGAATCCTTTTCACCTTGATTAAATGGAATTTTGAATCTAGTTAAATCGTTACAAAGGCTGCAAACTCTTTGAATGCTCTCTCCTGCTGCCAGCCAACCCTTCCCCCATGCATTGTCGATTGCCTGGCATTTTTGAGTTGCTTTTTTGCAATTTTGCGGCACTTGACTCAGTCGGTTTATTGACACGCCCCACACATGTCAATCACTCGATTGATAGACAGCCAAACACTTGACTTGGAGAGCAGACCTAACAGGCAGGCAGGCAGCCAGAGAGACGGACGGGGCTGAGATGAGTTTCTATGCAAGGAGCAAGGGTTATGCTCTGCTGTTTTGTTGAATGCCCCTCCAAGCCATTCGCCAGGCATGCAGCACCCTCACATACCATCCCATTGCGAGTGCAGCTCAACCTCCGAACCGAAGCATCGGCTACCCCCACCTGCTGTTGTCTACAAATATTTTGTTATCAATCTAAACATTTGTCAAGCCATTCAGCCAGACATCTTGTGTCGCTGCTGGAAAGTGATTTTCGCTTTGCGAGCACTTTATTTGATTTCAATTCGCGCTACGACTGTGATGCTCTGTCCATATGCTCTCTACACCATAATTCAGCGGCACTTCATCATTCATGGCGATTCTGCATGAATGGACATTCATTTATTTTATTTCCTTGTTGCGCAATTAGTTTTTATGATTAATACAAAATATCTGCATTAATTTCCGGCTTTTGAATCAACGCATTAAAAGCAAACCAACTGAAAAAATGGCAGTTGAACAGGATTTATTTTAGTTATTTGTGGATGGATAATTGATTTATGTACATAAATATGCACACAAATACATCAGCAAGAAAGGCTTCCTGCGTATTCCTTTTATTGAGTGCAACATGATGGACTACAGGGTGTTGCATGATCCTCCATTTCCGATATGGAAGCGGGATATTATATCATATTTTAGAAGATTATATTTTATGTATTTTAAGAATCTCCCAGACGAGATATTCACTCTTTATCCCTCCCCATTAAGACATGTTTTGTGGAAACAATTAAATAATTTGTTTGACTGTCATTAAGATCGCTTTGTTGGCCATTTATCAAGTTAATTAGAAGCCGCAGAAGGAATTACTTGTTCGTCTCTTAATGAAGCACATTAAAAGTAGCTCTGGCCAAGAACCTTTTCATAATATTAAGCGCACTTAAGTGTCCCCCAGTCGGCCATTTTCCATGGGTTTTCCCCTTCGCCGCTGATTGATTGCCGGCAATTTCGTAATTGTTGTCACATTTATCCCTTCATTTAGTTCTCCCTGTTTGGCTTAGCCCACATGTTTGCTCATTTGTTGGACGTCAAAACACCCAACAAATATGAAGAACAAACAAACTCGGACCCGACGAGAGTTCAATTAACAGAAAATTCGAATATTCAAATTGTGTTTCGAATATTTACTAAATTGCCAGATGCGCAAATATTTGCAGGGTTTTTCATTATGGTTTTCATTAAAATGAATTTGTATAATAAACCTCAAGCAGCTGCAAGCACCTTTTGGAGCAGGATGTAGAAGGTAGAAACACACTTAAGAATGAATTTTGGAATTTATACAAGGTACCACACGTATTTACTTTTCAATTTCTTAGTCATTTAATTAAGCTGATGGAAATGTTCGATTTTAAATATTCAAACACTTGTAAATAGTAAGTTGTTGGCAACATGTTTTGAAGTTTGATGGAAAGTAACTCAATTGTATCCGAACAAGTTAGTAAATAAGGAAAAGGTGGGCTAAATATACAATGGAAGGCTGGAGAACATTTCTCTCTCACCAAAAAGCTCTCATCAGCTTTAATCTGGCAACAGCGCTGCTAATACACCATGTTAACAGTCTGTTAGAGTTCTCCGTTAACAGCCTGTGGCCTCTCCCTGTTACAGCTCACTGTTAGCGCCCTGTGGCAGCGCTCTCACGATCCACACAGCTCTCGGCTGTTCATTCTCAATGTTTTTCGTTGGAAACGTTTTGCTTCTTTCACAACTAGTCAACCTGCACCATGCACAATTAATTACCTTACATATATTATCTTCCTAGTACCAAAGCATTCCTCTCTATTTAAAATTATGAATTTAATATCCATAAATCAACTCACAATAGCCAACGCTTAAGTGCATGGTTAACTTTCTAAATTATTTTACAAATTTAATTATTACACCAAAATTGAATTTCTCTCACAAACTTACAGATTTCTGTGGATAAACTACATGCTGTGCGGCCGAAATGGAACCATTAATCATGAAAGTTAAAACGGAATTGCCTAGAAATCGCTTTGCAGGCCAAAAACCAAAGCGAAACTCTTTACATAAATCTTAGCAAACTTTGCTTTGGTTTGGTTTGGTAAAAACACACAAGAAAAACTGTGAAATTATATTCCACACTTTCTTGTTATTTGGCTTATTATGTCGTGGCCGAGAGAGAGAGAGAACACAACCAACAACTAACTCAATAGAAACAATAACTGTGTCCCAGCATGTAGGCCGGGCCAACACTATTTTCATTTGGCCAAAAAGTGGTGTGTAGAGAGAACAAGGCTGGAGGAAGACAGAGTCAACTGTGCCATCCGGCTATGGCTCTGACTCTGGCTCTGACAACGTTTTCCGTGCTTCATTCTACGGCTCCAGCCAAGCCAGTTAACCGCAATAATTTATGCCTTTGAGCCGTGTTTGAGTCAAAGTCTTTTCTATGTGTGTGTTGTATGTGTTTTGTGTTTGTGTGGGTTCTCTCTCTCCCTCTTGTTCGCTGTGCAACTGCGTGTTTGTGTGTGTGGCAACATAATTTTGCCTATTAAAGTAAAACACTAACAGCGCTTATCATTACAGGCCCGGCCCAGGCCCAGGACACAGAAGCACCAGGACCAACACCAAACAGCAGTAACAACAACGAGGAAAGGGCAACTTTTAGTTGAACTTTTGAATACCCTTACATTTGAATCGATTTTGTTACACTTTGGTAAACTATTTCTCACAATTAATTGGCAAATCTTCAGAAAAACCAATTTGTATGCCGCAATTTCCAAACGATCTTTATAAAATGCTCTAAAAAAGTGTTAAAAAATTATAATCTTGCATTGCCTGAACAAGGAGTTAAACATTTTCTGCTGTAAATTCCACAAAGGGTGTACCCTTTGTAAGGGTATACCAAACGGGTGCCTGTTACAAGCATCTCATTTACGTAGCGCATCCTTTCGTCGACGCCATTTTGTTTAGTTTATGCTGTGTCAGTGTGTGCGTGCGTATCTGTGTGTATGCGTGCTTATGTATTTGTGTGCTCTATACCGGAGGGGTAGTCTCTGCCTCGCACTTCCTAATGCAAAAAAGCGACTTTTCAGCACAAATTTTTAGCAAAATTAAAATATTTATGTTGCCGACGTGCTTAATGCTCGTTGCTGGTGTTTCGCTGAATCCTTACCGCACCTCACCCACCCACCTCTGCACAGCCTCTCGCCCTTGTGTTTAGTTTTTAGAGTGTGTGTGAGTTTCCGGTTCCCAGTTCCCGACTGCCGGCTGCCGGCTACGTGCGTGGTCTGGTCTCATTGATGCTGCCAGCGGTCGGTGCACCCTACCTTACGGATACAACAACTTCGTTTTGCTGTGTGTATATATTTGTTTGTGCAGCTGGAATTTTTATAGATTTTCTAGAGATATAGATCTAGATCTAAGCTTAACCTACAAACAGGGTGTTCCCCATTCGATCTTCTTAAGGTTTCTCCCACGAAGGCATTGCCCTGGATTGACTTTCTTCCTGTGCCACCTTATGCTCCAAACAAAGGGGACAACGCCATGCCATGTAGCCACATTGCCACTTAATGTTCGCGCTTCAAGCCGCAGACAGCCATACCATATTAAAAACAATATATTTCCCCCAACTTTGGGACCTGGTGGGTCAGGGCACTTATGTCCTCTCAATGGCCATTAACTATTCACATTTCAGGCTGCACTTTTGGTCTGGAAAATGATTTACGTCTGCCAAATTGGATGCACTTTTCGCGGCGGAGTGTCATTAGTGGAAAGTTGTCGAAGGCGGAACCAAAGAGCAGTACAAAAAGTGAATTAAAGCAAACTCCTTGGGCGTGCTTTTCGTGCCTCGCTTTAACCAACGAGTATTCTCCAGTATATTTATTTTCCCCTTGTTTTTCAAATTTTTCTCCTTGCCTTTTGCAGTTTACTTTTTCTCATTTTCCATTTTCCATCTGTTTCTTGTTAAAAACGCTAGAAATTTATGACTATTTTGGGACTTGCCGCAGCTTGCGGCTGAAATGCTCTCAGATTTTTCTGCTCTGCCTTTTGCGGTTTGTGCTGTGCCTTTTTCCCTGGCTTCCGTTCCGGGTTCCAGTTGCCAGTTCCAGGCCATCCCATCCATTGTCATGCCTTGTGGTCACGGGGTTTAAAGTTTAAACAATTGCAGATTTGCCTTTTAATTGCAGCCAGAGTGTCGCCATCCATTGTTGCTTTCATGTTCCAAAGTTAGCTGCTAAAAGCGATTGCTCTTTTTGTATATGTATTTGTTGTTCGATCTTCAGCACATCGGGCAACAATATTCTGCTGTCAATCTGCTGTATCGGATCATTATTATTTCTTGTACAAAATTGTACGAAATATTATTATATGATTGGCTTTTCAAATGTTTTTTAAGTGCGCTCAATTTATTTACTAGACTTTGAAGTCCCACTATCGCACAAGAGGAAAACCATCGATCCTATCGATAATGCCATCGATGGTTGTGCATTGCACATTTTGTTCCTGCTGCTGTACATTTATTTGAAAATACATTTATAATTTGATTGCCTGAGTTCGATATTTAAATAAATTCTGCATTAAACAACTAATTAATTTTCAGCGCAATGGAGGACACATGCAGAGTTTGCCTGGCCAAGTCCGGATCATTTATAAACCGCTTTGACGAGAGGCAAAAGAGGGAAATTTGCAGTGCTGACATTTTGGCCCAGGTTCTCGGGTCCGTGCTGGGTCGAGGGCATTCACTGCACGAACACATATGCCCGCCGTGCCTTGAGGATGCACTGAACACATTCAATCTGATGGAGTATGTTGATAGAGTGGAGCCCCCCTGTCGTGATATCGTCCAGGAGCACACCCGTACGCAACCAGCAGAGCCGCGAGTTAAATGCCCTCAATGCTCGTCATCATTTCGAAGAAACGGCGATCTCAATGTACACACTAGGAGAATCCACATGGGAATAAAGCCGTTTAAGTGCACGCACTGCACCAAGGCCTTCGACCGCCCCGGTGTTCTCCAGGAGCACGTTCGCAATCACACGGGAGAACGCCCGTACAAGTGTTCCCGCTGCCCGAGGTCTTTCTCCCACCGCAGAGCTTTTCGGATGCACAGCAGGCGCCACTCGGCTGAAAACCCACAAACTGGCTAACCCTCGACTGCGAGCCAATTAATGTCAACATACAAATTTGTAAATATATCGAGTATCAGTCGATCAGTTTTCATTGTATTGTTTATTATTTGAGGTTTGAACTTGATAGATAGTTGAAAGAACTCATTCATAGATTCTGATTCTGTACTGTGTTCTCTGGCCTTGCCTTGCCTCACTTTGGCCTGCCCAGCGGCAGGCAAGAGAAACTGAGCTGGCCACAGCGGCACACTCGTAATAGCAATCAATGGTGCCTTCCATTTGTGCATTGATTGCAAGACGAAAGCTGTGTAGAATGTGTAAAGTAAACGATTCCGAATTCAGTTTAGGCTTCTGGCAGTTTCAATTTAACCAAAAAATTCGAATTAATCGCCAAAAGGTAAACAAATATCGCAGAGCAACAACAAGTGTAGGTATGAAAGCCTATCGATAGAAAAAAGTTGCAACTCTGCTCGTTTGGGTGTGTGTGTGTGTGTGTGAGTGTGTGTAAAGTTCTTCGCAAGTCGACGACCACGCGCTGCCTTTGGTTTTATTTCGGCTATAACTCTGCCTAGATCTGTACCCCCTCAATATGGACAATCCTAGGAAAAGCCTGCGCTGGAGCATGCACCAGAGCACGCTGATCAGCACATTCGCGACGCTACTGGACACCCAGACTCTAGTCGACTGCACGATCTGCGCCGAGGGCAAATCCATTAAGGCCCACAAGGTGGTTCTGTCCGCCTGCAGTGCATACTTTGCCACCATATTTCAAGGACATAACGAAAACTTTCCGTGCGTGCTACTAAAGGATGTCAAGTACCAGGATCTGCGCGCCCTGATTGACTACATGTACCGCGGCAAGGTCAACGTCAAGCCGGACCAGCTAGAAGGGCTTGTCAACGCGGGAAAATTGCTGCTGGTCAAGGGCCTGTTCGAGGCCGACCCCAAGCCTGAGGCTTCTCAGCATGACCGTGGTGGCGCCCTCCCACTGGAGCAGGCCACCGACGGCACAATGGACACCACTGGGGCGAATGGTGAGTGTTGCAAAAGTACTTGCCCTTAAGTACCAGATTAATCACACCAATCCTTCCCCCACAGATTCCGGAGACAACTCGAATTCTTCTATTATTCATGCCGCCTCCGGCCTGGTCGAGACCGAGCTTTCCGATGGCGCCCGTTTCGTGGCCAAACTGACCAAAAAACCACTGACCACTTTACGTTTGCCAACGTTGTGACAAAAAATATCGCTGGCAGGAAGGTCTGCGTTGGTGCGTTGGCAAGAGGGGAATGTTTCGCTGTCCTTATTGCGCCTACGACACGGATCAGCTCGCATTCCTTAGCACAAATCCAAATGTTTCCCAGGGCAAATTGATCCAACTAACTAACTTGTGGAAGAACTCAAGAAATCAAAAGTAAAGAAGAATGAAAAGAACCAACATGTGTTTGGAGGATATAAATTGCTCAACATAATCTTGCTAAGTTCTCTCCCTACCCAACGATTCCATTTTCGAGTAGTCTCCATTAAAATGTTTGCCGCTCTATAAATGCGCAGACAGAAAACGAGATAGGGAGAGGAACCTGATCTGTTCTGCAACCATTCTTCTCACTCGACTGCATTTGATTTCATTTCATGACTCAGACCAGCCATGACAGAGGGCAAATAAGTTGCTCATATGCGAGGACACGCAAATGCCAAGAGATGGGTACCCAAAAAAAAACCACCAATAAATTCAATTCCATGACAAATGAACTGCAAAACAGATGTCCATTAGGGAGACCACTTCGACTGAGCGGGAGTGCAGCGGAAATTAAGTCCGACTGAAGCTTTAGAAAATAGTTTAAATATTCAAAAGCTTGCCAAAAAGGGGTAACAACTAAATTTGGATGTGACTTTTGGTCCTTTGTGCTGCTAGCTGTATTTTTTTGCTGTCTATAGAACTTAAATTTAAACAACCAAAAGCAACGCTCGCTCCGCTTCTATCTCTGTAAGGGGTTGTGGGAGTAAAGATTGGAAAAGCTGCAGAGGAATTTGGTAAAGCGAAACGGAAACAAAACAAACTAAAATCCCACAAAAACCGAAACCGAATGTGGATGGGAATGTGGATGTGGATGTGGATGATGGAGAGTGTTTGTGTCGACGAGACTGCGGCCGCATTTCGCACAAATATTGACACATGTGTGGTAGGATGGTACGAGGATTGCAGGAGCTGGGCTGGATGTTGGATGTTGGATGTTGGATGCATCGCCACCCCGAAAAGCCATACCAAATAGAAACCAAACCTGTCCTGTCCATTAGATGATTTATAGGTCAGAGATGCCAGCAACCAAAAGTGAAACTGAAACTGAAACCGAACCCAAAATCGCCATCGCCATCGCAATCGCAGAACCAGCAAGGGATAGGGCCTCCCACAAAAAAAAAAAAACTAAAAACAAAAAACGAATTGAAATGGACACTTTATGGACATGTAGAGTTCCCTGTCCGGCTGCCCGGCTGCCCGCTTGCCGCCCTCGTCTCATGTAATTAACGAAAATTGCTCTAATGAAAAATACTCTGGTACATGTGGATTGTATTGACAGGCGGGAGTCCAGGTGCCAGTAGTGCAGGACATGCATGAGGGCGGCACTCTCCCACTTGTGTGTCAGGGCCTGGGCTGGGGAAAAGTGTTTGGTTCCACTGGCATTGTTGTGCTGTTCGCTTTTCCATTGTTGATTAATAATGCATTCGATGCTGGGACAATGGAGTGGATCGATTGGGGTCATGGTCTGATCTCCCATTGAAGCTGCCGCTGGACCCAAACAGCAGGACATCGAAATGCATGGGAGATGACATGCGATATGTATTGTCTGTACTCTAAAAACTGTTTTGGCATTGTGTTTTCATTACTTTGATTTGCCTTCAATTTTAGAATATGGCTAACTTAAAGCAAAAGGTGAATCCAGCGTACTTTAATTTAAATTTTATCTGCCAAGTATTCCAATTTAAACACTTAACTAAATCGCTTAAAAAGTTTACCTCTCTCTTACGCATAACATATCCTATTCCCATATTGTATCACACCTTCCTCCCTCACACATTAACTATTCATAACTTTGTGAATTCAATTTTGGCAACATTTTCTCTCTCCCTTCCCCCCTAACATCCAATCAGGCAATTCCCACGGCAACAGCCAGTTCCCAGTCGGGACAACACTTTAAAATGTCATATGTAGCTGGCTAATGCTCTACAATCTCGTTGCGAAAACTTTACACAACGATCGACGCTTGGGGAACTTGTTCAGGGGAGCGTAGGAACACACTGAAAACAGGAGCTGACCACAGCAGGATATTGCAGGTGTTGGCTGGACAACTTGTTTCAGTTGAGCACCTGAAAAATAGCCCTACTCGCATTTAAAAAGAGAAAAAAAGATGAAAAGTAGAATTGAAATTAAAAAATTGTTGCCATTTGCTGGAAATATAAAATGGGGAGGAGCGTGGTTGGGGGGTGCGGATAACAAGGCAACCCACACACCAGGCATTTGTCGTGTCCTGTTCTGGCATTTGCCTTTCTCTCCAGCTCCAGCTCCATCTGCATCTGCATTCACATTCACATCTGTGTGCTGGCCATGTCCTTGGTGGGTCCTGCAGCTCCTCACTCAGCTGGCTGTTTGTTCCATTGTTGTATGAATATTCGTGTGTTGGACTCGCTCGTTTATTTGCTCGCATTACAATTACCAAAGGACCAACAGGACACCCGTACACGTACGCAATTTGTTGGCACACCTCCCGCACCACCCATTGTGGGTCCATTGTAGATCTGGAATGAGAAATGAGGAATAGTAGTGTTAGTTTGCCCGGTTACACAAACAAATTAATTTCCAGCCAGACACTCCAAATGTTTGGGAACATTCAGCAATGTTTGTAATTGAATATTGTTCAGGGACGGATCGGACCCATGGTCCATGGACCATCGACGAGCACATACAGGAATGCCTTCACTGGCGGGTCGAGTCAAATTATGCAAACTAATTATGAATATAGCATCGCATTATACTAGATGTCCAGACCAAGAAGAACCGTCGCCAGAATGTCACAATAATGTGTGAAATGACGCGTTACATTCAATTCGCTGGGGGAATTAACTAACATTTTGTTTAATTTTCAACATTTCAGTCATACGTTGTCAACATTTGACTGGTTTTTTGTTAATTGACAGAGTCAAATGATTGATGACAGCGAGAGAGGTGATTAGGGATTTGAAATGAAATATTTTTGCATTAGTTTTTGGATAATTGATATATTTCAATCGGGCGAAATAATCGTCCATTATAAATTGTGCTCGCATTTTCAATAATTTTGTTTCAAACTTGGCCAAGTTATTTGTATTTTAAAGAACTATTTAGACTTGTTTTCGGTTAATCCAGGATGTTCTTTTCAATTTCAGTTTCAATCAATCCAGCCAGTTGCGTTAAAGTATTTATTTAACAAACAAACAGCGCACTCAAAACATATCCAATTAGTCATACTAAAATTTCAATAGTTAAATAATTGAAACAAGTGCAAAAAAAAAGCCAACAAATTATTGTTTGTTGTGCGTTTTAAAAATACACAAAAACTTTCTCAAACATGGCTTGTATTTTCACATAAACATATATTTCATGTCAACGAGGACGAGTACATATATTTCGTGACATTTTTATTTATTTGCCAGCGGAAGTTTTGAAGCGCCGCCTGTGTACAGGATATTAAAAGGACACGTAGTCATGCATGTAAAGTGCCAGCGGCGTCATCGCCTTCACACAGGCCCGCCGGTCACATGTGGATGCTGTCGTTGTGGTTTTCTCTCTTATTGTGTGCCCTTCTAGAGGGTATTAGGAATTGTGCTGAATGTTTGCCAACGTTGCATACGTCATACGTCTAATCGTTCGAGAAGATTAACATTTTAGTTTATGTTCAGAGCAACAGCAGGTTTACCGCATGGTAACATTTTAGCATGCTGTTACGGATCAGAGTAACGCTTGCTGTTACCGCGCGATATTATCTCTCGCTGTTACCGTTTGCTGTTAATGCTTGCTTTTACCACTCGCTGTTAACGCTCTCTGTTACCACTCGCTAACAGGCTGTTCACGTCTGGTGCTAACAGTACTGCTGCCCTGATCTTTTCGGCAATTTTACTGTGTGTTCAGCTGACGAAATGCTGTATATCGTAGATCTCTCATAGACACTGAAAGGGCATTTACATTTTCTGCCACCAAAACCAACATTTCCCTTCATTTCTCTCCGCTTTTTTCTTTCTTTTTTTTTGGCTGTTAGAATTATGAGTCGGAAGAGGGCAATGCCTCAACCTAAAAAAAACATCTGTGCACAAAGGCAGTCTCCTCTTTTTCTTCTTATTTCAGTTTAGTTTTTGTGCAGCAAATTTCTTTTGTGAGACATTGGCAATGTGAGCGAACTAACGCTAAGTGTTGAAATGGCGCCTTTGCCCGGTGCACAGAGGGAATTTTAATTAAAACTCCTAATGAATTTTTAACAGGAACTTAAAGAGCACACAAAAAGCACCAAGCAGATAGTCCCTGGAGCAGCAGTGGTGGCCAGCACTCAGAGTTTCCTTGAATTGCCTTCTTCCTTTTAGCTTTCTGTGCCATTCCTCTTTTTGTGGCTGTGAAATTATGACCACAAGAGCAGCGCCAAAAAGTCATCACGTGACCACACAATTGTGTGGTCAACACGATGACCATTCTCTCCTCGGTTGATCCTTTGGCCCAGTGCCTTGTACTGCGGCCCTTTGGTGCTAATGACATTTCAACTATTTTAATCTTTCGCTAGCTTTTCCTCTCACGCCCACTCCACACTCGCCACTCTGCACTCACCAAGCCAGGATTAATTAAATTGCCATTTCTTTTGGCCAAGTTTCCACTGCGGTTCTCTTTTTGGCTTCATATAAGAGTATGTTTGGGTTACGTTACACAAACTTCTACTAATTCTAGAGGATGCTACTTGGCGACCCAAACAAACTTTCCATTGAAATTGACAACCCAATTAGCTAAGGACTCTCGGGGCCAACCATAAATACTTCGAATATCCGGCAGACAAACAACAGCCAGAAGATTGCATAAATCTCCATCTCGGGCTAAAAAGGGAAACCCAAACGTTTGCCAAGCCCCAAGGATAACAAAAGGAGAATTGGATGCCGCTGCTGTCTGCATTAACCCGAGGGCTGCCTCTGCCTCTGCCTCTGCCGCTTGCCATTATTTAAAATCACAGAGCCTTCAAATTGCATTTTAATAGAATTTATTGCGCCGTAGCCAAGAGAGGGGGAGGAGGACAACAAATACCCGCAGAGGCAGCAGCCAGAGAAGCAGCAGATCAGATCGGGAGCCCAGAATAATTGC